CATTCACCCTCATCTGGATGTCTGTCATTGTCTCTTCATCAGGGAAAATGTTTCATCCACCATCTTTACCAGCCACCATCCTATTAACCTTCTATCTGTCCCAGGAAAAGTATTTGCCAACATGCTAGGGGCTCACCTGTCTCCCCCGCTTTTTTGCCAGAAGCGCCGTCCTCGCCATTCAGGCTTAACAGTGGATACTCTATGAACTACACACCGAGCATTAAACCGACCCCCGTACGGCACCTACCAAAATTTTGCGGCATTCGACTCGGTGGGCAGGATGGCAATCTCTGGAAGGGGCTGTGCGAGAAGGCGGTGCACTGGAGATGCGCTTTGTAGCCGACTGGTACGGCAAAGCATCCACCAGTGTGTGTACGTGAGCGACCCTTCGATAACAAAGCAGTATCATCTACAAAAAAACATGTTTTACAGAACATTTTATAAACGCTACCTAACTTATACTCACCAAATCAGGTGACGTCCTGGTTAACAACCTGAAGTCAATCAGATAAATAATGTTTTACCAAAGCCAAGGCATCTTCTGAAAACCCGAGTTGATCAGCAGTGTCGATGCCTTTGACAACTCAAGGAATAATGCCCCACAGTATTATTAATCATATTAACTATTGCCAATATAGTGTAATGTATCAACAACAGCTGTATATTTAAAAAAAATTCACAAACAACTTGATTGTCGCAGGGTTGACGAAGATTTTCCTTTGAAATAAAGTGTGTTAATTGCGTTGTGATGCCTTTGCCATACGTCTCCCGGTTGGCCTTGCCAAAGTTCCAGTGCTTCCTCTTAGAGCTTTTGACACTCAGGATTTCAAAATGTGGAGCAGTATCGGCCATTGCTTTGCTGTGCAGGAGGTCGTCCAAACTCGACTGTAGCATTGGTCTAATTTTTTAATATAGTGATATTTATAAATATCTTGGGTTTATTATTTATGCTGCCTCATTCTTTCATATGCATAGTTATCAGGTAATCAAAAAAGTTAAATGTAAGGTTGCCTTCTTGTACATTAACGAGCAATGTCTTCCAATCCCAATTCATAGACAGATTATTGAAGCTACAGTGGTCGCGTTTACATCGGGAGGAGTGGAACATGCCATGCAGATTGGGGGATGTGAATAAAAGCAAGGTAGCTTTGTGTTGTATATGTAGGTTATGAAAATTTGATGACAATAATAAAAATTAAATGAAATTTGGAAAATTGTGTAATTATCCGAAAATATGATAAGTGATGTAATTATGTGCATTAATTATGTTAATTAGAGAGATAATCGTATTCGCTTATGCGAGTGTGTGATTATGCTGATGCGAGCCGTTATGATAATTAGGCCCCGACTCGAGGGTCGGATTATCAATCAGGATGATATGATTAATCGTATGTAGTTATGCAGGTACTGTGAGCATGTCGGATTAAACTTTGCTTCGTTGTTTAACTTCGTATTATCGATCGGTATACAATTATTCTCGCTTTAACATTTATTGAGTGTATGTGTATTTATGTCAGGTCTCCAGATTCAGATCTCAACGCAGGATACAGCTCTTATGCATGAAATTTCGGAAAGAAACAACACTTCTGCGTTAATCAATTTTATTTTCTAGCTAAACTTTAACTCTAGAAGATGCAACTCCCAATCTTGGAATTTCAACACAGTATCATCAACGACTGCGTTGTTTCATTTTGGGTATCATGTGATTCATTCCCCCGCGTAACGCGAGCTCAGTTGGTGAGAGAGAGAGTCGTTAAAAATATGCATACGCTGTTCTAAACAAAAACCTTAACTTTATAATATGCAAATTTGTATACTTGAAAGTTGCCCACACCGTCCTGCATTCATTCATAGATCCATAAGCAACCCTCAAGGCAATTCTTATCACGTTGTTTCACTTTGGGTATCAGCAATTAATTCTTATGCAGCGTAACACGAGCACGTGCGACAATTATGAATGAAAGGTACTTAAAGATTATACGACGATATTCATACGAAAAGGCAATCAAAACAGTTATTATTTCCAAAGGCACAAGTATCCATCAATAGATTCGTCATGTTCATTCATGGATACATCTGCAAGATTATGCAATTAAAAAAACCGAACGACTCAAATACTTCTAAGTGACCGTATCCACGTAACTCAATGGGCCGCAATGTTCTTCGATATCAGCTAATAGTTGACGCACGTATGAGTCTTCTTGTATGTGTTAATGTGTGATCTTCTTGCGTTAATTCTTTGCGTAAAGCAGACGCCAAGGTTGGGCATCCCTTGTATCAAAAATTTGTTTGTTCCCTGCGGAGCGGTGGGGGTGTGAGGGTCTGTGTATCATACAGACAGCGTGGCACTCCCTCTTTCACACGGGCGGCCACAGTTTCTGTCCACAGCCGGCTGGAAGAGTCGGCACGACGCTCGTCGTCGGTGCACGATGATCTGTCGTCAGATAACGCCCGCAGCCCGTCCGCTGGTCGCCGTTCCTCACTCTTGTCTTGGTTACCAGCTGGTGCTGGTCAGTGTGAGGTTGGGTCGAGCCCACAGTGCTCTCGCTGGTGTTGACACTCGCTCACGGGCGGCTGGTCAGGCTCTTTCCGCTGCTGGATGACTGCGCTCTCTGTTGAGATGTCCGAACGCGCTCTCTCTGGTTTGCTGACAGCAGGTTCTCTCCACTGCTGTAGTAGCTGCCGCACGAGCTCTCTCTGTGGAGATGCCCGAACGCGCTCTCTCTGGTTCGCTGACAGCAGGCTCTTTCCGCTGCTGGATGGGCCAAGTCGGCACACGCTTGGCCGTTGGCAGCAGACGCTCTTGCTTGGTGCGTCGGTCGCGCTGCAGCTGGGAGCCGGCACTCGATGTATAAATAAAGGTCTTTAAGCGATACTTTGCCTTTCAGCTCTGAACTCACACTCGTTGATACAGTGCCACTCGGCAAGCCTCGCATTCTCAGTTGATCGCTGGGCCACCCCGGGCCTGCTGCGCGCCGCACTCTTCTGCAGCTCGCCGGGCTGACAACTTGTTGAATTCGCTGTTCCTTGTTGAACTGAACTGTCGAGATGATGATTGAACTGTTATATTCGAAAAAAAAATCTCTGCTCTGCGCAGTGGGGGGCGTGGCCGGTGTGTGTGTGTGTGCATTCGTGTGTGTGTCATCCCATCAAGCCATCCTGCGTCCCCCCATTGATCACCATCCCCTCCCCAAGGTATCCCTTCACCCATGGGGCACAGATGGCCCCCTCCCTGCAACAACAAGCAATTCCTCGCGAGGGGTTAAATTCCTTTCTCGTGCTGCAGGAAGACAAAGGCGGTCGGGAGGCCCTTTCTTTGTCTGGCTGACTCTTGAGAGAGAGAGAAAAAAATACTCTGTCACCGTCCTCCCCTGGCAGTCTGGAGATTCTTTAGCCCCGGAGTTTATTATTTATTTATATATATATCTATTGGTCTTTTTACGATTTCCATCTGTGTTTGCTGCGCTTGTCGTAGCGGTTGTTATTTATTTATTTTAAAAATGTCTATCGGCAAATATTAATATACATTTTGGAAAAGGCATATATATCCAACATATGAGGTCCAGTTTGCAAGTTGTTCATTGTCGGCATCTACCTCTGTGTAGCCCCGGTCCGCGTAGTGACTGTTGAAGTCACTGACCTTGATTGCTGCATGAATCAGACTTTAATTTTGATTTAAAGCTTTCGTGACTGCAGTAATTCATATTCTTAGTTCTTTCAGTAAAGTCACGTTGAAGGGAAACAACGTGACTTTACCGAAAGAACTAAGAATATGAATCAGACTTTGTTGAACTTGTTAGTCCCATTTGATGCTGGGAGACTTGTAGATATTTGCAACCCGAAATCCATCGACTTAAATTACATCTGTAAAGCGTCCACGATGTCAAACTGGACATACGCGGCTTGCCCGTGCTTTGAGTGTGGGACATATGACGGTATGTCACATCAGCCATCATTGCAGCGTCCAGCTTCAATGGATGGGATGGGTAGTGAACAAGAACACTGACTAGATTTCGCGTGACATCCAACAGACCCTCAACGGTGAATTATAAGACTCGGAGTTGAGGCTCAATGGCATGAAAGCCACAGGGTTGCACATTGGATGGTTGGTAGTGATGATGCCGTGATCCCTCCAATAGAAGTTCCAAGAATTTGGTTCGCTGGGAGGTTAATTTGTTTCTCCAGTGTGAACCGGGTACTGACAGGTGGCACATCGGGAATGCTGATCCATCGTCCCCCACTAACAGCACTTACTCCAACAATCTGTTAAAAGCTATATGGGGGGAACTTTGTACTTGATTGTCGCAGGAAGCAGTAGTGTAGTGGTTCATGCTATGTACTATGCACTGATTCCCACTCATGGTCAACATCATTGACATTGCTGAACCCTTCTTGGTCTCATATGAATACCCAGGTTGATGTGTATACATCACCACTGGGGAGATGAAGGTGAACTATCGTGGTGCTAACCACACCATCCCATCATTTGTTGTGATAGACTTCATCGTTGCTTGCTCACAGCACTTGTCCTGTATGAATGTATAATTACCGGCGAAACGTCACGGAACTCGAATTGTAAATATTGGAGGTTTACTCTCCAACACTCTGGTGTGCTGAACTAGTAACTAATTGGCATGTTTTGTAATCGTGCCAAACATTACTAATTGGCTGCGTCAGGTGGTGGCGGGTGTAATGACACATTTATATTTACGCGATTTAACCCAAACATCTCTTATGGATAATATTATACTCTTTGGTTCTTTCGGTAAAGTCACATAGGTAGAAAAAAATAAAATCAAGAAATGGATAATATTGGTTGTGAATGCCTATGTGTTAAACTATATGTATCTATGATTAACTTTTTTCCCATCGTAAATCGCCAACCGTGCTAATTGGAGGTGCGGATGTAGAATGTCTTAACATTCTATAAAGGCTATGGAGGGCATCTTTGTTTTGTATTTGGTTGAAAGTTGTGTGTATTTTTGTGTGCATGTGTGTAGCTTCGTGCACGTGAGCTGGTGGGCCAGGCGCTGTTGCTGGTGAAGGACCTGGTGTCGTCATTGCTCAACTTCCACACGTACACGGAGCAGCGCTGCCTCGTGCACCCGCTCGACGCATCCACACACCCCGTCTCCCCCGTGAACCAGAAGGTGGTAGCGCTCCCCTCAACGGCCATCCCGCAGTCTCCTCCCATTCCTATGGTTTCTGACTTAGGGTGGCTCTCACGCATGCTCTCAATTTCTCCTGCACAGTTCACTTTCATGCAGTCCTTTTGTCGTGATGTTATTACAGGCAAATCCCGCTTAGCCCCACCACATAAAGTGTCGATTCCTTCGAGCGCTCTTTATCCCGGAGACATTTTTTACAACAAAAAATATTAAATTTTGATTTAAAGCTTTCGTGACTGCAGTAATTCATATTCTTAGTTTTTTCGGTAAAGTCACGTTGAAGAGAAACAACAAAATAAAAAAATATATATAAAACAATAAAAAAAAAATTAAATCGAAATGCGCATAAAACACTTACGCATGAGAGCACGCAGCAGCAGCATTGCTGACCGAGGAAACGTCACCGCCCCCATCATTCGCTCAGCCAATGAGAGCGACGCATGGCTCTGAGCGAACCACAGACCCGCATGATTTGTGTTCCCGATTACGGTGACTCCTCCACTTACGAACATTCGACTTAGGAACTAATCAGTCCGTATGTCCAGTTGCCTGTATGGACCGAGAGTCGTAAGTTCAACTGCCACACAATATATGGTGGTGATGGCATCTACATCTGCAGAACATGAAGAACCAGTGGCATCTACATCTGCAGGAGATTGTACAACTTTGAAAGCCATTCCCCATGTTTAGTGTACATTCCGTACAACATGTATGGAATTGACAGGAGTAAAGCTGGACTTGCAAACAAATCGACTTACAAACAGATCACTGGAACCTAACTCGTTCGTAAGTAGAGGAGTCGCTAAAGATTTATAATAAATCGACTTTCGGTTTTTTTCCAATGTTAGTAAGGTGAGAACTCTTGAGACCAGAATAGAGTCTCAGGCTCCACCTAAAAGAAACTTCGCCACATAAATATAGACTGGGGGCATCACTAAGAACATCACGGAGGTCCTGGAGCTCTTCTCTGAAATGTCCCGGACTGGGAGTGCAGTAGCAGCTCCAAAACCTCTCCCACCACTGCCATGTAGGAGTACAGTAGAATGCACTCGAGTACACAGTGCCATAATACTTACTCATGTTATAATTATTCTTTTTAATTCTGGAATAATATATTTATCACCTGTGTAGTGTGTGTACAGAGGGATGCACACACTATAACTTGGAGGCAACACGTTTAAAAACAACTACGTCACACTCCGGGTTCTCTAGCTAGGTGTGGCTATCTGTCGCTATGTGCGTGTGAGCTTAAACTGTACGGACGGGTCGGTAGCACACATGTTACTTGACCCATGAGTCCCAGCTAAACTACACAACGAACGAGGAGCGGAGAGCGAAGGATGAAGACTTTTCCAGTTGATTCCCAAAAACGAGCCCCGAATCCCCTCGGCGCTCCCCCTTTATTTCCATAGCCGCGGCCTCGATCCGCCCTCAGCCACGCCCTCGGCCATGCCCCCTGCTGTATCAAGCAAGGGCTCCCGGCCTCCGGTCACGTGTCCCTCAAGCCTCCCAGGGAGGTTCCTGGCACTCAGCAGGACTCTGAATAGTGGCTGGCGCTAACAGCACAGTAACCGTATTTACGTCACTACACCTGTATTATTGTTTATAGTATTCCTGGTACCCCAATGAATACCTCGTATGTTGCTCATACGAAATAAATAACGCAGTCAGGAACGCATCCCCATGTAGTATACAGTGGTATATAATGACCCCTTTTAGCGCTGATTCGATAAGTGCTCACTTCTCCAGGAACACATCCTGAGCGCTCAGCGAGGTCTGCCTGTTTATGGGGCGGTGACTTTGCCTAGCATCAGCATGTTCGCTGCTTGTTGCAGAGGTTCATGGGTTCAAATTCAGCAGGTCACCCTGATTAATACTTTCCTCAATTGGTATTACAACACCGCTCCCTACTGTGAAATTACTCGACCACGCTGGTCAGTGCGGATTGAGGGTGGGGAGGGCATAGATGAGGGAGCATATCAATACAGTACAACAATGTATTTGGCCACCCTGTCCCCTACTGCTGGCCGCCACGCAATTCCACAAGCTCGATCACAAACTGTGGTCACCCATTCAAGCATTATTCAGGTTCACACCTGCTTAGCTTCCGAAGTATTATTTGGGCACATATTGGGTGATTACACAAAAAGTATTGAGCATATACACTCACGTGGGTGCCTTTCTGTCACTCAGTAGGCTCTAGATGGCTGTGTTATCGCTACTCGTTCGTGTGTTTCAGACTTGTGTGCGGGTCGCACTGTGTCATGAGACTCATATTTCCTGGGTCACAGCCACTCAGCCAGCACTGCTGAGATCAGAGCAATATGTTATGGTAACTTTAAGATCATGATAAGGTCAGTTATAGAGAACATGAGAAGTGGAGGAGAGGTAAGTAATGAGGGCAGTGTATCAATGTTGTGCCTGTGTAGAGGTATTCATCGGCACTCCCCATGCTGTTAGCGGGTAGCTCCCCCTTCTCGTCAACAGGGGGCGGAAGCGGGGTCACGCCAGTGTAAAGGATCATGGCCCAAGGGGCCACCGCCAATCCCTGGGAAAATGGATCCTGGGACACAAATCCCCAAACCCCGAGAGGGGGAACTGGGGGATGATGTCATCTTCCAGAAGGTTCTGGAAGGGATGCGTGGCTAGGGAGGGTCCGGCTCGGTCATCTCCAAGCTGAAGACCAAAGACGGAGCTGAAGATAGGACTCTGGACCTCAAGCTCCGCTGTCCTTCTAAGGACCCGGAGCTCAGTGAGTCGAGCGATCAAGACCCGGAGACCTTGGGATGGTCGGGTCAGCGTGGCCTCCCAGAGGACCCCTAGCTGGAGGGCTCAGAGCTAGAGTGGTCCCAGTGTTAGGAGGCAGTGTAGCCCGGAGGCCATACCTCCTTCGGTATTGGGTGAAAGGGGCCGTTACCCCTTTGTGTTAGGGACCTTGTATTTAGTGCAGTTAAATAAATATTGTGTTGCCTCACCTACGTTCTCCTCTGGTTCCTGACCCACTACAACTGGTGTCAGATATCATTATTTAGCACTCTTTTGGTTAAATGATAAGACCCAAGACAAACTGAGGCACATGTGAGAGGGGATGGACCATGTCAGGTGGCATGATTATTCTGACTTCCTGGATTGTATTGAATATTCTTGGCACAGTTTAAAGTGAAACGTGATCTCTGTGAAATTTGGTTCTGGTGAGCTGAAACAATTATACTTTGCGCATTTACCACCCGTACGCATAATAATTAAACTTGTTTCTTTAAGTTGGGTGGTTGAGCGTCTTACAACTCATATTTGGCAAGATGAATGTGACTTAACCCAATAGTTAGTATATTTATTCATTTATTTTATATTAAGTGAATAGAGTAAGCGGGGTGATCCGGACCAAATCAAGAGCATGGTGACCGAGCGTCGAAAGGAAAGGTCCTTAACGCTGATGGTGGCCGTCTGTCCGTTTTGTTTTCTCACCACAGTTTTGCCAATTTCTGCATGAGAATGCGTCGTACGTGCGTCCCCTGGACCAGGGCATGCAGCAGCTGCATGACAGCATTACGGAGGATGCCGTCACGATGCTGGTAACACCAGACCCCAACACCGCTGTGGCATGCACCCAATGAAGCCAAGGTCGCAACAGCGTAATGATAGAAATTTGACAGTGATGTGCAAGCTCAACACATGGCCTGACCTGTTTAACACATAGTAGTAGGCTTTCCCGACCAATATTATCCATAATTAGAGGTTTTTGCGTTAGATCGCATGAATATGAATGTGTCATTAAACCCACCACCACTCGACATGGCCAATTAGGAAGGTTTGTCACGTAAACAAAACGTGCCAGTTTGTTGCTAGTTCACCACAAAGTTTGTGTGTTTGAGAGTAATCTACCAGAAAAACGTGACATTAGTCGAATGGTAAATGTTGTGGGTTTACTCTCCAACACACAACCGGCGTGCTGAACTCTTAACTAATTGGCACATTTTGTTTACGTGACAAACCTCATTAATTGGCTGTGTTGGATGGTGGCATGTTTAATGACACGTTTATATTTACGCGATCTAACCCAAAAAAAACTTTCATGGTTTATACTGCGGCAGTAAGTTGGCTAACCAGGAGGCATCTTTTTCTGCGTCTGTCACAGGAGACTGTCGTGTCGCTGTCGCCGTTCTCGGACAGCCTCTCTAACTATGTGTCCTACCTGTCCAAGCTCACGCCCTACCAGCTGGAGAGGTATGGCAGCTCCAGTTTTGGATGCAAATACAAATTTTTCTTGCATTTACACATTTATTTAATACGTGCGTATCTCTCTACCCGTGGTAGTGTGGATTTTTCCCTGCATCCTCCGGTTTAACCCTCCACATTTAGAATAAAAATGTGTTTAGAGGATTTAGCTGCTATACATTTTCACATGGTAAGCCACTTCGGTGAGCTATCATTTGTGGCCAGGTCACTTCTATTTTACCTGGTAAAATAAAAAAAAAAATAGTCTAGTTTTGTAAATAGTTTCGTTTATATCAAGGATCCATTGCAAAAATTACGAAGGCCACATGCCATCTCAAGTATCCTATGGAGCTGTGGTTCCCAACCTGGAGTCAGCAGAACACTGTTGGCCAATGACGCCTTGTTAAGTGGCCAAGATGTTTTACTGCATGGGAGTACGTACACTTTTTTTGTTGATGGTTGACAGTGGCTCAGACAGGTTTGGAACCACCACCGCTGTCGTTGAATTACGCAGAGAGCAGAGGGAGCAGGGCTCCACGCTGGCCTGCGTGACTGCACGATATCCCCGTGATGTCCCCGCAATGTCCCCGCTCATGTCCCCGTGGTGTCGCCCGTAATGTCCCGCCATATCCTCATTATGTCCCCCGCAGTGTCCCGACAGTGTTCCCCGCGATATTCCCACAGTGTCCCCCAAGATATCCCCCGTGATGTTCCCGTGATCTCACCCATGCAGCCTGCAGGAGGAGTCGCGCTCGCCCCTGTGCAGCGAGGAGCTGCGTACCCACAACGCCGAACTGGAACAGGACGTGAGAGCCATGACAGCAGCCTTCTCCCGCACGAGCACCTACGTGGTGGCGCTCACGCTGCCCGGTAGTGCTGCTTCATTCTCCTCCTCCACGCGCCCCCACAGATGCCTCCCACACTCACGGCCTTCACCCTGACCTGGCGCTCGCTGTCTTTCAGTGAATCTTCTCCCACTCAAACATGGGCGTGGTTCTCACCTCATTGCCATTGGTGGCCCCTTAGCCAGTTGTGGAAATTTTGCATTCCTTCGGTGGGTCTCAGCTTTTGCCCCCAGGGGCAACCACTGACTTTACCAACACCGAATCATGTGGACAGCTGCTCCAAATAAATTTTCATTTAATAAAATGCCTTTTCATAATTGAATCTTTTCACTGATTAATTACTCCCTCCCTGGAAAGTGGGAAGCAGCCTAACCATAAGTAAAGGGCTGTTGGCTTTCTACAAAGCGATACTGCACATTACTTTGACTTCAGGGGGATGATGATGATGATGGACTGAGTTGATATAAAAATGGATTTGAAAGGTGCACGGCCCTAGCACCACTCCATCTAGTTGATACCAGTGTAAATAATCACACTGGTAATTTCCCTCCAGGAATTCATATATTATCTAATTGGTTTATAGAAACCCTACACGTCCTTAGGATTCTACACATTTATTTTATTTAACCAGGTGAAAACTCAAGAGACTATGGGCCCGAGTACAGAAAAAGCATGTGAAATCCACCGGGCAGCAATTGTGAAAGCCCTAAGTAACATGGCTGCCGTAAAAGACCTATGCAAAATGGCTGCTGTAAAAGCCCAAATGCAACATGGCCACAGTGACCTAATCACTCCACGGGTTAAGTTGTTCTGCAGCTGAGGTCGTTTGTACAGTAATATTATTTGTGTTTTTTATAAAGCGATGCGAGTGTGATTCTTTGTGTATTTGTGTGAGGTGTGTTGAGAGTGCATGTATGTAATTGTTCGGTTGTGTTACATTCAGTTGTGTTACTTTCTGTGTGTAAGAGAAAGAGTGTTTGTGTGTGTATCGATCATAATGGGAAGTGGTAGTGTTGTGGGTAGCACGCTGTGCGTAGCACGCTGTGCTATGAACAAGGCAACCGGAGTTAGATTCCCGCTCACGGCCAACACCAGTGACGATTATCTGAATCGGTCCTGGGCCTCCCCTAGATTGACTCAAATGAGTACCTGGTGTGATGTGTAAACATCGCCACTGGGGAGACAAAGGCGGCTGGGTGTGGTGATGGCCACCCACTCCGTTATGTACTGTGCCGACCTTCATCAATGCTCACTAACAGAACTTGGCCCACAGTCTGTTAAGGCTATACGGGGGATCTTTGTATTTGTATATGTCAGAGTGAATTTCAACAGGACCTACATGTCTGTGTTATTGACCTGGTAAAAGCCTAAGATATCAATAGGCTAGGGCTCTGAGTTATTCTTCCTCCTTTTGGAGTCCCAGACCGTCTGTTCACAATGATTAAGGACCTTCCTGATGGTGGGCAGGCCCAGATAAAGTTGTGTGACCGGGTGTCAGAGCCATTTTCTGTCCGGGTGCGGTCAAGGGATGGCTCCCTTTTGGTCAACCATATTACATATGCAGATGATCTGGTGATTGCTGCCAACTCCGAGAAGGAGTTGAAGGTGCTACTGCTGAACCTGGAGCATGCTACTAAGGAGATGATGTCTTACAATCAGCTCCACAAAAACAAAGCACCTGCCAGGGTATTTTATGTCATCAAACGCTCCCCTTGCTCAACTCACTATGAGTGATGGGGCAGTTGTGCAGAGAGTGGAGAAGTTTCCATACTTGGGTAGTGTGCACTTCACCAGCTCTGGTTGGGCAGCGGAGGTCTCAAGCCAAATCGGTCGAGTGGCATTATCACCAGTATGACACAAGCAGTAACATAAAAGCAATAACAATGAACCGAATATTATTAAGAGGAAAAACAACCAAAAAACAAACCACATTACAATGCGCCCATAATGCCAAGCAAATAATTCGTAAAGTCGAATTGTGGCAGTGTTTTGTTTATAATGCGCCAAGCACTTTCGCATGTAACGAATCGGCCATTTAATGTCGCCTCTTGCTTCCCTCCATGCTTAGGAACGAGGCCTCAGGCGATGCACCCTGACAACCACGGTGCAGTGTACACACAGCTCGGGGCCGCCCTGCACAGCCTGCACCAGGCTGCCCAGGGTAAGAGCGCAATGCGTGACCCACCGTGCCATGTCACGGGGTCTTACGTAGTGGCCTGCGTGAAGCACCGTGCTGTCGTTATTAATTGTTCCAAGAATGCTCGCGGATGAGTCTATGGGAAAACATGGTCTGGTCGCGTGTAGACACACGATGAGGACCGCGCTCGTTGCCTTTCAGGTTGTGTCGTTTACTGTTGTGTTGCTGTCCGCCCCTGGCGCCCACTGTGTGTCTCTGCACGGTTTGCCTGCCTGCACGCACACACACACACAGGGCTCTCAAAGCGCTATGGCGCCAAGGTGAGCTTGGAGCACGAGCTGCCCACTTCAAGCCACAAGCTGCGCTCCACTAACGAGTGTCTCCTCTCATCCCTCGTTGCCCTCGCCTGCACCACTGGCAAGGTGCGTCCGCCTGTTCAGCACTATAATGGCCGTCTTGGCTTACAGAGACACCGGGGCAGATAGCAGTGGACAGTGAGGTTGCGCAACATTGAATGACGAAAGTCGCAGCTCATGTGATTCATCGTTGATCTTTCTGGGTTTGAACCACGTGATCTGGCCAAATCTGTCTAATTGTTACATTCGATTTTTTTATTTGCTATTCAACTTACTGATGAACTGAGAGAATTAAGAATTGTCGAGTTAAACACAAGCACGAGAGTTTAATTTATTTTGGCTCTGCGGGGTGGTGGAGGGTTCTCAAGACGAAATTTGGCTAGATGATGACGTGGCCTAACCTCAAAATTCAGTGATGGACCATTGGATGACAACTTCAACAAAGTGTCTCCTGGTGCAAACGAGCGTGGGTTGGTGTTCATCTCCGTTGATGGCCCCAGGGCCTCTCTTAGAAATTCCACAATCCCTTGAGGGAGGGCCAAGTCTACCCAAAGATTAACAACCCTTGGCAGGTCGAAGTAGCTACAGTGAGGGAAATAAGTATTTGATCCCCTGCTGATTTTGTACGTGTGCCCACTGACAAAGAAATGATCAGTCTATAATTTGAATGGTAGGTTTATTTGAACAGTGAGAGACAGAATAACAACAAAATCCAGAAAAACGCATGTCAAAAATGTTATGAATTGATTTGCATTTTAATAAGGGAAATAAGTATTTGACCCCTCTGCAAAACATGACTTAGTACTTGGTGGCAAAACCCTTGTTGGCAATCACAGAGGTCAGATGTTTCTTGTAGTTGGCCACCAAGTTTGCACACTTCTCAGGAGGGATTTTGTCCCACTCCTCTTTGCAGATCTTCTCCGAGTCATTAAGGTTTCGAGGCTGACGTTTGGCAACTCGATCCTTCAGCTCCCTCCACAGATTTTCTATGGGATTAAGGTCTGGAGACTGGCTAGGCCACTCCAGGACCTTAATGTGCTTCTTCTTGAGACACTCCTTTGTTGCCTTGGCCGTGTGTTTTGGGTCATTGTCATGCTGGAATACCCATTCACGACCCATTTTCAATGCCCTGGCTGAGGGAAGGAGGTTCTCACCCAATATTTGACGGTACATGGCCCCGTCCATTGTCCCTTTGATGCGGTGAAGTTGTCCTGTCCCCTTAGCAGAAAAACACCCCCAAAGCATAATGTTTCCACCTCCATGTTTGATGGTGGGGATGGTGTTCCTGGGGTCATAGGCAGCATTCCTCCTCCTCCAAACACGGCGAGTTGAGTTGAGGCCAAAGAGCTCCATTCTGGTCTCATCTGACCACAACACTTTCACCCAGTTGTCCTCTGAATCATTCAGATGTTCATTGGCAGACTTCAGACGGGCATGTATATGTGCTTTCTTGAGCAGGGGGACCTTGCGGGTGCTGCAGGATTTCAGTCCTTCACGGCGTAGTGTGTTACCAATTGTTTTCTTGGTGACTATGGTCCCAGCTGCCTTGAGATCATTGACAAGATCCTCCCGTGTAGTTCTGGGCTGATTCCTCACCGTTCTCATGATCATTGCAACTCCCCGAGGTGAGATCTTGCATGGAGCCCCAGGCCGAGGGAGATTGACAGTTCTTTTGTGTTGCTTCCATTTGCGAATAATCGCACCAACTGTTGTCACCTTTCGATTTAAAGCTTTCGTGACTGCAAGGATTCATCTTCTTGGTTATTTCGGTAAGTCACGTAGAATGATAATAAAATAACACGATAAAATTCTCACGACGTTTGGGCCACAACACAAGTGGCCTTCATCAGGTGAAGGGACGAGACTGTCTCGAGGACAGCGCTGGAGCGAACACAGCCAAGCTCAGACCGCGACCTTTAAGCTGTGTGAGAAGAAACAGAGCGCATTGACAAAGGAATTAGCATAAAAATTAGCATTTAATTGGCGGACTTAGCATGATGAACGGTGTAGAGGGGGTGAACATGTGCAGACCGGCGAGGTGGGGAGGGGGAGTTTACATATTGATGGTGTGAAAAGGGAATTTAAGCTGCTGCGAAAGTTTGGGGTACCACTACTTGAAAAATATACTGTACCATTGAAAATTTGTTTAATGTTTGGTTCGGATAATTTAGCATTGAAATAGCTGCGTGATTAGCTTGTGACTGGTCACAGAAATGGCTATGTTAAAGTCAAAGCCTACACATCCACAGAGGCACCTAGTACAAATCAAACAGGAGAATTTAGCATTGAAATAACTGAGTGATTAGCTTGTGACTGGTCACAGAAATGGCTATGTTAAAGTCAAAGCCTACACATCCACAGAGGCACCTAGTACAAATCAAACAGGAGAATTTAGCATTGAAATTACTGAGTGATTAGCTTGTGACTGGTCACAGAAATGGCTATGTTAAAGTCAAAGCCTACACATCCACAGAGGCACCTAGTACAAATCAAACAGGAGAATTTAGCATTGAAATTACTGAGTGATTAGCTTGTGACTGGTCACAGAAATGGCTATGTTAAAGTCAAAGCCTACACATCCACAGAGGCACCTAGTACAAATCAAACAGGAGAATTTAGCATTGAAATAACTGAGGGATTAGCTTGTGACTGGTCATAGAAATAGCTATGTTAAAGTCAAAGCCTACACATCTACAGAGGCACCTAGTACATGGACGCCAAAGGGGCTGCAATAGCTATGTTAAAGTCAAAGCCTACACATCTACAGAGGCACCTAGTACATGGACGCCAAAGGGGCTGCAACAACTCAACAACTCGACTATCATATAGTAAACCGATGTGAAAAAACCTCAGTCTAAATTACATCAATATAATAAATGTGCTCAATATATTCTTCAATAAGCTGAGCTATTAACAATAACTGGGTATACACTACACTATATAATGAATACCATATAGTAAACCAATAAAAAACTAAAATATAAACTACCTCAATGTTATCAATAAACTCTATATATTCTCCAATCAGCTAAGCTACTAACAATAAGTCGTTATATATCACAATGCTATATGGCAAAAAAATGGGTGGATTCTTACCCTCAACTTTAGCACCACGGATAGCTACGAGCCCCGTTCAGACGGACAAGTTCATCCATGGTCGGAACGGAGGAGGAGGAGAGACAGCTGCGAGGCGCTGTTATACTCCATGTTGTAAACCATACCATTAACCGTAATTTAGACTTAGGTTTTTTCACATCGGTTTACTATATGATAGTCGAGTTGTTGAGTTGCAGCCCCTTTGGTGTCCATGTAGTAGGTGCCTCTGTAGATGTGTAGGCTTTGACTTTAACATAGCTATTTCTATGACCAGTCACAAGCTAATCCCTCAGTTATTTCAATGCTAAATTCTCCTGTTTGATTTATACTAGGTGCCTCTGTGGATGTGTAGGCTTTGACTTTAACATAGCCATTTCTGTGACTAGTCAAAAGCTAATCACTCAGCTTTTTCAATGCTAAATTCTCCTGTTTGATTTGTACTAGGTGCCTCTGTGGATGTGTAGGCTTTGACTTTAACATAGCTATTTCTACGACCAGTCACAAGCTAATCCCTCAGTTATATCAATGCTAAATTCTCCTGTTTGATTTGTACTAGGTGCCTCTGTGGATGTGTAGGCTTTGACTTTAACATAGCCATTTCTGTGACCAGTCACAAGCTAATCACTCAGCTATTTCAATGCTAAATTCTCCTGTTTGATTTGTACTAGGTGCCTCTGTGGATGTGTAGGCTTTGACTTTAACATAGCTATTTCTATGACCAGTCACAAGCTAATCACTCAGTTATTTCAATGCTAAATTCTCCTGTTTGATTTGTACTAGGTGCCTCTGTGGATGTGTAGGCTTTGACTTTAACATAGCCATTTCTGTGACCAGTCAAGCTAATCACGCAGCTATTTCAATGCTAAATTATCCGAACCAAACATTAAACTAATTTTCAATGGTACAGTATATTTTTCAAGTAGTGGTATCCCAAACTTTCGCAGCAGCTTAAATTCCCTTTTCACACCATCAATATGTAAACTCCCCCTCCCCCCCTCGCTGGTCTGCACATGTTCACCCCCTCTACACCGTTCATCATGCTAAGTCCGCCAATTAAATGCTAATTTTATGCTAATTCCTTTGTCAAGGCGCTCTGTTTCTTCTCACACAGCTTAAAGGTCGCGGTCTGAGCTTGGCTGTGTTCGCTCCAGCGCTGTCCTCGAGACTGTCTCGTCCCTTCACCTGATGAAGGCCACTTGTGTTGTGGCCGAAACGTTGTGAGAATTTTATTGTGTTATTTTATTTTATTATTTTATTCTCATTCTACGTGACTTTACCGAAAGAACCAAGAAGATGTGCTCACCTTCTCACCAAGCTGCTTGGCAATGGTCTTGTAGCCCATTCCAGCCTTGTCTTGGTCTACAATCTTGTCCCTGACATCCTTGGAGAGCTCTTTGGTCTTGGCCATGGTGGAGCGTTTGGAATCTGATTGATTGATTGATTGCTTCTGTGGACAAGTGCCTTTTATACAGGTGTAGTGCCGTGAATTCACTCGGACGACAACCGTCTCTTTTTCCGCCATCACTTTTATTCCATCGTTCCGTACACACAGTAATTCTCTTCGCGCTCCGCCAACTCGGACACTCCGATTTACTTCAGCATCGTCCGTGCATCCCCTTCCACACACAGTGTTTCTTCCTCTATCTTTTCACACACAGTGTCTTCCCTTCCACACACAGTGGTTCGTCTTCTATCTCCTCACACACAGTATCGTCGCTATCTCTTCACACGCAGTGACTTCCCTTCCACACACAGTGGTTCTTCTTCTATCTATTCACACACAGTATCCTGTCTGTCTATTCACACACAGTGACTCCATCTATCTATTCACACACAGTGACTCCATCTATCTATTCACACACAGTGACTCTTATCTCCGCTAATGCTAACTCTCCCTATCGCTATTTACTGTCTTTGGGGTTCGGCTCTCTATCTATTCTTCCCTAACATTGCCAGCTGTCCTCTTCGCATCTCTCCACCTCTCGCCAACAACTGCCCAGCAACAACCCTCTCTCCGTTCAAATCACCTCGCGTTTTATCCCCTTTCGCATTTGCCTTAATTAATTGCCACGTGACTCGCTGGCCGTTTTCCGCCAACTCGCACCTGTCCCCTCCGTCAGACATCGAGACGCCACCACTTAACACTAACAGCCTCTCGACCAATCACAGCCCTCGTGCCACGACTCCCTTAATTACTTCGGGTTGTTTACGCCACCCGTGACTCGACCACCTGTTCGACCTCATGTGACCCGTTCTCCTTGTCTGTCTGTATGTACTGTATGTGGCCAATTCCTATGCGTATTGTTTACTCCACTATACAGGTAACAAGCTGAGATTAGGAGCACTCCCTTTAAGAGTGTGCTCCTAATCTCAGCTCGTTACCTGTATAAAAGACACCTGGGAGCCAGAAATCTTTATGATTGAGAGGGGGTCAAATACTTATTTCCCTCATTAAAATGCAAATCAATTTATTACATTTTTGACATGCGTTTTTCTGGATTTTGTTGTTATTCTGTATCTCACTTTTCAAATAAACCTACCATTAAAATTATAGACTGATCATTTCTTTGTCAGTGGGCAAACGTACAGAATCAGCAGGGGATCAAATACTTTTTTCTCTCACTGTATTATTAAGACTTGAGCTCAATAAAATACAGACTTAATTGCACAAAAACTGTATCATGAGTAGATTGCATGTGCTGCATGATTTGCCATTGTCGTGACTTATGGGCAATGAAATATACAAACAAGGCTCTGATTTACAGTATAAAAAACATTATTTTTGTGTACCTCAATTATTTAACCTCCAGGCCTCATGCTTTACAGCAGCATTTGTTTAAGCATGCAAATTCTGAAGTGGTTTTACTCCAGAGTTTGTCTCGTCAGCAACATTACTTACTCCTCTTCGCTCCTTGTGGAGTATCACGCCACAATATGCTGGGCGGTCTTTAGCAGCCTTCGCTGCTTCACCCCAAGACAGGCCCATCGTCTTTAGTTGGTCTGGAACGGTGCATCGCCAGGTGGTCTTCGGCCTGCCCTGTGGTTTTTTCCCTTGTGGTGTCCACTGTAGGGCGGTTTTCGCTATGAACTCGGTTCTATTGTCCCAACTTAAACATTTTTTATTGGTTTTTATATACAGATCCCGGGTTGAAATCTTGTTTGGCCAGAAGATGCGACAGATTTTCCTCGGGTAGTTGTTGTGGAAGGTTGATAGGGAGTTCATGTCTATTTGGTGGTTCTCCAACTTTCACTATTGTATAACAGCCCTGATTTTACTTTTCCATTATAGATTCGTACCTTTGTCTTTAAACTGTATTGGCGAGACTTCCAAATATTTCTCAGTTGGACAGTGTGTCTTGCCTTTTTTAGTCTAAACTTTTTATGTCTTTTGAGGTGGAGTTTTCTTTGCTTATGACAGTGCCAAGGTATGTAAATTTTCAACCTGTTCCAGTGGGTTTCCCTTGATTATTGTGTTTGTTGTTATTAGTTGATTTTCATCTCTTGGGTCATTTCTATACTTATCTGCAGGCCTAGTCGATCAGTAAACTGGCTCAACCGAGTTGTTTTCTTCTGCGTATGGGTTTGTTGAGAAGAGAGCAGAGCTATGTCATCTGCGATATCAAGATCTTCGAGCACTGAGCAGGGGGTCCATTGGATTCCCCTTGGGAAGTCTCTTGTGGTACATCTCATAACCAGTGGCGTGCGTTGAGGTCAATGGATGGGGGGGCACTGGCGTGTGTCAGAGCCAGATTTACACACTGAGGGGGGCTTCACGGAGGAGGTGTGGCTTCACTAAGGGGGCGTGTCCTCAGTGAGGGGGGCGTGTTAGACATGTCCCCCTCAGTGAGGCAGATGTGATAGCTGCCTCCCCTTGTGCTTTTTCATTGCAGTTTCATGACGAGACCAGCCTAAATATCTTTATACACATACGTGAAATAAGTTACCTGAAGTTTGGAAGGCGAGGACATGATATGAAGGGGTCTACAAACATTACATTGGTGACATACTGAGATCGTAACAAGCACACGCTTATTGCCCACGCTCCATCCAGTTACTGAGGGGTTGCGCAATCAGAGGGGAGGCTGAGCTCGTTGCTGCCTCACCTCTCATCTCTTCCTGTATTTGCAGAGGAGCTCCGCACATTTGGCGATTTTGACTATAAAAATGATTGTAATCGTTCAGAAATGACATTTATAACACAGATCAGTGGAAAATCTTAAAATTGATTTTATTATTCTTTTGTTTCGTAACAGCTATTTTCATTGGAGTATGACAGGTGAGGCACTGCCTCCCCTGACCGCACGTTCCTGCTCATAACCCAGTCAATAGTAACCAGGAAGAGAATTGGTGAAAGGATGCATCCTTGGCATACCCCCGACATGACAGGGAACCAGCCTGAAGTAGTGTTGTTGACCAGGATTGCACATTCAAATTCTTCATCGAAGTTCTTGATCAGCTCAATGAATTTTAGTGGAATGTCAAAGACTGTCTCTGTGTATGCTTTCTAAAGCTTTCTTAAAATCGATGTAATTGAGGTATAGTGGGGCTTTTTATTCCAGGCATTGTTCTGTGATATTGCGTAGAGTGAATGTTTCCATGCAGCCTCTACCTTTCCTAAAGCCGGCTTCCTCTTTCCACAGGGTCTGGTCAAGGGGACTTTTAATCCTGTTGAACGGCATTTTGCAGAAGACCTTGCTAGGAAGCGAGAGGAGTGTAATTCCTCGCCAGTTGTCGCAGTTTCCAAGCTCTCTTTTTGGAGAGTCTCACGATTAGGTCTTTTGTCTAGTCCTTGGGGATGCTGTTACTGTCCCAGATGCTTTGGAACATGTCAGCAACATTATGGTCTGTTAAATTCAATCAAGCAGTTAGGATTTATGCAGCGTTTAAAAGGGGAATAGCAGCAGCCGTCACGGCCACGGTAAGTGTGGAGTGGAGCAATCGCACAGCAGTCATCGCGATGTTCACAGCGCCGCGCTGTGAACATCGCGATGTGATTTCCGATTCCTGGCCATAGCTAACATCGGTGGCGAATTATATTTGGAACCTGCCTGGGCTTCCCTCCCACAAACAAACCCACACTGACCAGCTTTGATGAAGTATGGTCAAACAACTCCTGACTGACACGGCATGGGGAGGCATAATGAAGCAGTGGATTTATAAAGGGCTGGATGTGATCGATGCTGCCAGGGTAATGGGGAGGGGGTGATGATGGGCTATGGTATAGTGTGCTGTGGTATAGTGTACTGTGGTACGGTGTGCTGCGGTATGGTGTGCTGTGGTGCGGTGTGCTGTGGTACGTTGTACTGTGGTACGGTGTGCTGTGGTATGGTGCACTGTGGTACGGTGTGCTGTGGTATGATGTACTGTGGTACGGTGTCCTGTGGTATAGTGTGCTGTGGTACGGTGTGCTGTGCTGGACAGATTGCCGAGTTTTTCGCTGGCAGCCTGGACTTCCTGTCAGTAGCCCCCAGCCCTGCCTTTGGCCGGCGGGGGGCGGCCGGTGGCGCCGAAGCAGCGCGGTGCGTGGCCAAGTACCGGCGGAAAGCGGCACAGTACATGTTCACCATCCAACAGGTGACCACCACCGCTAGACCACAGCCAGTGTGCTCCTTGCACAATGAGACTGCTCGCTCGCTTCCTCCAACACAGAATCAGAATTGGCGAGACGCTCTCTCCACTCACGGAGAGACCACTCGACCTAGTACCCAGGTAGACCAATCCAACCAGTTACAACCAATCAATCAATCATCCAGCTCTCACAGTGTGACTGCTCCACCCACAATTGAGTTGAACTGCTTAATCTAGCTCCACCAAGCTTCGCCCAGCAATGCTCAACACGAACAACAACCGCTATTTGCCACTAAGTGGTGGTGATGTCACCATGGTGCTTGTGCCAGGCTAGCTGCACTTTGTCACCACATGATGTTTCGAAGGGTCGCTGGCGGGAGATCATGGGACAGACCCAGGTGCCATGGGTTGACTGACTGAGATGACTGGCTGATGCCCCACCTATGTCCCTACTGTGCCAACTTGCTGTGTTTTAGCCACCCGGCACTATACTCTTAGTTGTGAGTGTTGCTCCTCTGCCCTTTGCTGTTATTGGAGGGCAACTACCCAGTAGCGTCCTTCATGAGCCACCTCCACAGAGGCCGATCTTGACACTGCTGGTACCAATTAATTAACAATTCTAGTCAACTCCATATCCTCCTGTACAATGACGGAGCCAGGATTTTCAGGTAGTGGGGGGCAACCCCTCCAGCAATGAAAAATGATAGGAGTTGTTAGTCAGTCAGGACTTGTCCCTTGCTTTTTATTCGATGTGTGTGCGGCGATGGCGCAGCCATCGATCGAAGGTCGAATTCGAACCATGTGTGATCGGCATCACGCTCTCTCAGGGAAGTCGTGTACTGTATACGCATCTGTGCACAATTCTGTGAGTCAACCCCCCCCCCACTGGCTCCGCCAGTGCTCCTGTACCACATCCGCCCTTCTCTTTTCCAGTCTGTGCCGCACCCATGTAGCTCCCTCTGTGCGACCGGACAAAAACGGTTTTGGGCATGCGGTGACTGGGAACACAGCCTACATGCCCCAGCCAATGCAGCCTTGCTTACTGGAGGAGCTCACCAATAGGACTGTGTCCAAATCTTTCAAGAACTTGTGTAGCTCCCACAATGCAGTCTGGTTAAATCCAGGATGAATCGTAGGCAGGCCAGCCTGAATGTTTCTATGACAGATGTTCCATTGGACGGGTCCACGTTTTGCAAGCATAGAGAAAGGAGGGCCTGACTGTGGCTGAGAAGACCCGAAGCTTTGTGTGGAGGGACAGACCAGAATAGCTTCCACACAACATGACACAGCTAATGAAAAGGTAATGCCGCCCGACTGATTCGGAGTAAGACCTCCACTGGCAAACCACAGCTGGTCATAAGTACACTGCCAAGGTATGTAAATATCTCCACTCTCTCCATAACTCTTGGGGAGTTGAGGGAGTGCAGTGTTTGATTCCACAGAATACCCAGGCAGGTTCTTGGTTGTGATGGAGCTGATGGTAAGGCCCCACCTCTTAGTAGCATGCTCCAGGTTCAGCAGCAGACCCTCCAACTCCTCTTAGTGAGCTGCAACTACTATATCATCAGAATACAACAGGGAGCCAACCCTCAACCGCACCCAGGTATCGATCAGCCTCCCATTGTATCAGTACCAAATGGAAATTCCTCTGGGACAGCCATGGAAAGAATCTAGATTTGAAGTTTTCGTGGCTGCAGGGATCCATACTCTTTAGTTCTTTCGGTAAAGTCACGTAGGTATAAAATAAATTAAATTAATTACATTGGGGAAACGAAACGACATGTCTCGGACCGTGTTCGCAAGCACAAGGCAGATCTGAAACACGGCAGTACTAATACCTCTGCCGTGGCTGACCATTGCTATAACGCTGTGGGCTCTCATGATATTGTTTTTTACGAGACCAAGGTGCTCTGCAAACCTTCAGGCTACTATCAAAGGTTTGTTCATGAAGCCATCCAGATATATAAACATAGACATAGCTTCAACTGAGAAGATGGATACAAATCGAGCAATCATTGGAAGGATGTTATTAACCAGGTAAAACCTTAAATGCTTTATGGTTGTTCCATCATATTTGCCAGGCACTATTCTATTTTGCCGAGTTAATTGCATCCCCAGCGTTTGGCATTGCTGCTGCATTGGCATTTTTGGCTTCATTGGCATTGTTGCTGCTTTGTTATTGCATCTTCCCCCCCCCATGCATCCCCAGCTCTCTCAGCCTCCCACTTCCAGCCCGGCCCACTTCCCCCCATCCAGCTTCACGTCCCTCTCCTAGCGTCCACGCAATGCTCCCCTACCCCCCTCCCTTCCCTCTCCCCCTCTCTCTTATTTATATAACCTCTTACCACGGCATCTCTCTCCCACCTGATGATGATTGCTTGTGTTGCAATCGAAACGTCGTGATTTATTTTATTTTATACCTACGGTACTTTACCGAAAGAACCAAAGAGTATAGCCATGGAAAGCTTATCGAACTATGTAGTCAAAAAATATGTTAAATAATGCAATAGAACATCCCTGTCACACCTCAAAGTGATCAGACATGGGTCTGACTCCCGGCCACATCGCTTTATCCGGGTCTGCCCACCTTCATAAAGGTAGTTAATGAATGTGAGCGGAGAGTCAGGGACCCCGTAAGCATGAAGAACAACCCAGAGCCCTGGCCTATTTATGGTATCATAGGCTTTGACCAAGTCAATAAAGCAGAGATGTAGGTACTGTTGGAATTCCCGACACCTTTGCTGTAGCAGACGAACAGAGAATATGGCGTCTGTGCCGGACCACTCCACTGAGGAGAGGCTTGCGGAGCCTCTCCTCAGCGTGCCTGGCAATGGGGAATATTAAATAACCCTTGCCAGGACCTTTCCTGCATGCTGAGGTAGGAGATCCACCAGTAGTTACAATCAGTACGGTCCCCTTAAAGAGGGGGGCCACCAGGGCATCCTTCCAAACCTGCAGAACCCATCCTATGGTCCAGTCAGTTATAATGATGGCATATAGAGCAGTCTACACACAAACCTACCCTCCTTCAGCAGTTCGATTGTGAGATCACGTCTGGCCGGCGCTCTTCCTGGTTTCAGACTCTTGGATCACCTTCTGTATTTCCTCAACAGATGGCACCTCTGGCAGCCATTCAGAGGGGGTGACTATTACTTCCCATTTTTTTAGGAACACGGGAAGAGACCGTTTAATACGTACATTTCTACTGTAGGCCAGTTCTGTTAATGAGCTTGCTGATATTTATTTTATACATGCCTTACGTTCATAGAGCCACTTATTTTATGTTTTTATGAGAGTCGTGTCGAACTTCTTTTCCATCAACCATGTGTGATCGGGGTTGTCGATTATTATCACTCCCCCAACCAAATGTAATCGCCCAATCAAAATTGAGCTTGAGGAAACGTCCACTGCTCCACATAATCCCGGTTCGAGCACCCCTCTACTCCTCCTCCCCCCTGACCTGATCCAGGATGGCACCCACTGAGACACGACGAGCATTTCCTATGTCCTGTTGATAAGCATTCACGAGGCATCTCCTCGGGACCCAAGCAAAAGAACTCTGTGACTGAAAAATCACTGCGCTTGTGTGTGTGTGGGCAACGCTCGGGCTCAAACGAGCACCTGGTGTGGTGTGTAAACGTTGCCACTGGGGAGACAAAGGCGGCCGGGCGTGGTGCTTGCCACCCACCCCCTCGTCTGCTGCGCTGACCTTCATAGGTGCTATTTGCTAACCGCACTTGCCCCAACAGTCCGTTAAGGCTATACGGGGGATCTTTGTCTTTGTGTAGCCGCCCCCGGACTCGGTGCCGTATGAGGAGGCTATGGCTAACCGGGCGGTGCTACTTAGCTCCACCGAGAGCCGTGAAGGCCTGGCTCAACAGGTAACTCACTCGCTCCTCACTCACTACCAATCATTATTCACTTCTCAGCCACTACTCTGTCACTACTCACCTATCCACCAATAATTCAACCAATCACTCACGCTCACTCCCTATTCACACATCAATAATGCACTCAATCACTCACCAGTCACTGAACCACGAACAAAACCACTCAATTGGCTGCCCTTCACGTGACGGAAAACGGCAGGAGCAGGCAACCTGCAGGCGCCTGGGGCACCACGCAGGCACCTCGTTTTGTCGTGGATATTTCGAGCTGTGGTTCATGTGTGGACAACGCACGCAGCAACGATCAGGTGCAGGGTTATTTTAGGTGTCCGGACGCGAGCGCGCAAAATATATATTGTGGATTGCATTGCGTCGAGCGATTGCATTAGCTATATCACCGACTACAATCCACACTTCCATTGTGTCGGTGCGAGCACTTGCTTGTGTCATAATTCCGATTACGGTCGGTAATCCATGCAGGATCACCACAGTGTGTCAAGCACTCGTTACAGCCTGTGCTGGTAGCTGTGTCACGTGTTATTATTCCAGGTGCGCTGCTGTTACCCCTATCTGTCCCCTCTACATCTGCATTGGCTGTGCTGTAGCGGTGCTGAACCTCCCAAATACACACCTGATGACGACCGTTTGTGTTATGGTCGAAACGTCGTGAGAATTTTTATTGTTTTATATATATTTTATTGTTTCCCTTCAACGTGACTTTACCGAAAGAGCTAAGAATACAGGCTGTTCCTGTTCTGCTTCTACTGTTGCTGCTGCTGCAGGTGTTACAGACCCAGGAGAAGCTGCTGCGGCTGGAGCAGGAGAAGGAGCACTGGTTGCTCGAGACGCAGCTGGCGCAGGCGCGGTTTGAGAAGGAGACGGCACGCTGCCGCCAGCTGGAGACGCGCTTGCATGCAGCACTGAGCCAAGCCGGTAGCGGTGGTAGCGGCGGTAGCGGCGACGGTGAGGAGCAGGAGGCAACGACGGCGCAGGAGGGGAACGTGCGAGATGCAGTGGCACAGTACGATGGTGCTGGCGCCAGCACGCCGGTGAGTGTGTGGCGAGCCGAAAGCAGCGAAACCAGCAAAAGCAGTGTGAGAGCCACTCGTCTTAATATATAACACGGTGTGATAGAGCAATGAAGGAAGCTGTGGGAGAGAGATGTTTTCAGAATCAACAGTGCTCCATAGAGAAACGAGAGAAAATAGATGAATTCAGAAGATAAATTAAACATGCGTAGAGGGTAAAAGCCCCATATGTACCTGTGCAGAATTGACCAGGTTATAAACGACCCCCCGACCTCTCCTCGGGCATGATTAAACAATTAAACTATTGATATTTTACCAGGTAAGGCCCAATGAGCTGTATAGCTCTTTTGCGGAAGTGATCTGACCACAAACCATAGCTCAATGAAGTGGCTTATCATCGTGTGGAAATTTCGAGCAGCCAAATACTCTAAAAGCATGATGTTGATTCTAAATGTGGAGGGAAAAACCGGAGGACCCGGAGAAAAATCCATGCGACCATGGTGAGAGAGACACGTAAACTCCAAATATACAGGCGTCGGCATCAGGATCGAACCCACGACCTGTATACCTGGCGAGGTAATTAACATCTCGCTACCGTGGCATCTATTTTGCAGCTACAAAGCTTAAAGGTTCGCTAAACTCGGCAACTAAATGACTATGCACATTAGTGATTGCTAGAACCAGAGGGATCTGTTGCTAAAAGAGTGGATGAATTAGTAGCGGAGTTGAGTGGACGATTAACTGAATTGGTAGCCAAATGAATAGCAGATGATTGGTTTAGTTGCTGATGTATGAGGAAAATAACGATGTCACTATTTGGGAGATATAGAATTTGGGTTATGATGCTGACACAGTGACCCAAGCTTTCATTGAGCAAACAAACGCCACAAATCATCCCTTGCATCTTCACATTAGCAGCACCCTCAAATAAATGAAATCGCCAGGCATCTTGCATCTGGAGTTGAACTATGGCAATAATAACCTCTTTGGCGAGCATGCTGACATGGTCACCTTGCAGAGATCTCTTGAGACACTCTTGCCTTTGTCTCCGCAGCGCGGCCGGCTGTCAAGCTCAGAGGCGGAGGAACCGGTAGGTAGCTGTCATGTCCATGTGATACATTTTTGGCAGTATCAAAAATGACATGTGAAAAAATGAGAATAGGTTTTTACCCTTTCTAGCAATCACGCAGGTATTGTGTTCAGATGTTCAACCTTTTTGGCAAGGCATCAAGTCTGCATTTGAACATCTTAACTCCACCTGCATTTTTGCCAGAAAGGGTAAAACCAATTCAAATTGTTTATCATTGTTGACATTGGCAAAAAGGTCCCATACATATAACTGTTTGACCCGAGCTTTAAGTGGTCTGATACTTGCATTGCCTTGGTACTGTTCGCCTTTTGGCGTTCTGTGGTCTAACACTGGTGAGACAAGGCCATAAAGAAGGCTGTCTCTGGTGTAGGCCAGTTTCAAGGAAAATGCATATATGATCAAAGAATGCTTGTTTGTATGTTTTGGCACAAGTACGTGTGGTTAATGCAGACTTGATGCCTTGCAAAAGGTATCTATTTGGTGTTTGAACATCTTAACACAATATAGTAATAGGTTTTTACCCTTTAATCTGGCACAAAAAAACTGACACCTTTATACAAGGGATCATGTTTGCAATAACCACAACACAAGTAGTCAAAATGCAAACAAAAAAGACAACTGAAAATATGCACTGTCCTTGAATTTGATTGGTCCACACCCGAGAGACGGCTTTTCTTAGAGCCCAGTCTCCACTGGTGTTGGACCAGAAGACGTGTTGTGGTTATTGCAAACATGATCCCTTGTATAAAGGTATCAGTTTTTCGTGCCAGATTAAAGGGTAAAAACCTATTACTATATCTTGTTACTGGCAAAGGAGGTCTCATAATGTAATCTTAACACAACTGTTTTATTGCCACAAAGGCTATAACCTATTCTAATTTGTCCATCATGGCTGTCCTGTGTTTGTGCGTTTTGGGGAGCGGTTGTATTGCGGTTAGCGCAATGTGCTAACCACCACCCAACACGTGCGCTGGAATTTAATGCGCAAATTATTATTTTTTTCGCTCACCGGTCGGTAAGCTTTAAGAACAATTTTCACCACAAAGTTATAAATTAGATACAAAAATGCGTGTTGAACTTGTACATGTAACGGTTTCATTTTTTTCACTGTCGAGTGGAGGAGGTTACTTTGAGACAAATTTGGCCAGATCATTACGTGAACGATAATTATTGATGATAATAATAATGTGGCCGCTCTCCACGTCCCCCAAGTCTGTGCTGGAGGATGGGCGCGAGCAGCTGATCAAGCGCCACTACACGGCACGCGTGACTCAGCTTGCCGCTCAGCTGCAGCAGGCGGACAGCAGAGCTGTCCACTTCCACGCAGAGGTAAGACTCACGGGAGTCCTGTGGCCTTCTAGTCGGGCATATTTTCAGCATGGTTGATTCAATACAAGCAAACTCTTGACCGGTTTTGACAAAACAGTGTCTTATCAGCAAAGCCATGCTTGCTGGTGAATTGCCAGAGGCAAGGATTTTGTCTTTAAGATATCGATCCTATTTGTTATTTTGTGATCTTACCAGGTTCTTTAAATTTTCTTCTTGCTTATGGCGGGTGCTAAATGCCCATGTCAAGGTCTGCTAGCCACGAGAGGCCTCCAGGAGAGAGTTTGTGGAGATTGCTATTCTTCTGCTGAAGGAACGCGCGCAGATTACAGTGGTTTACAATATGGTTATATAGTTGGGCCACAAGTGCACTGTGGCTGTGTCTTTCATTTTCCATTTGTGGAGGAGATTTTGGGATTGGCCTGTTTATGTTCTGATGCGGTCAATGGTCACACCAGTGTCCTTGAGGAATGTCAAAGCCAGGAAATCCAATGTTTGGGTCTCAACAGAGGTGTTTTTTCTGGATGCTCGCTTGTGAGTAACTCTGGACACTTGCCATCATATCCCAGTGCCTTGTTGGTCTTTGTGGCCCTGGGGGCCTCTTCCACTTCAGCGACAGTGCACGGTCTGCTCAGATCTGTCGCTTGCGGTAGTTGGCTCAAGGTGATGGTGAGTTGTTTCCGGACAGCTTGTTTGGTGAGCTTGTCCATGCATTCCTTTGAGCAGGACAGCAGCATTTGGGAAGCCACGGCAGTTGCTGGAGTTGTTGGTAGTCTGTGCTCTCTAGGTTTTGAGGCACCTAGGTTCCCATTGGTGTTTTTCATGCAGAATTGAGCAACTCCAGAAGTGCGATGTCCTTATCTCGGTCACTAGTTCTGATGAACTATTTTAAGTGTTGTTCTGTTTCTGAGTGACAAATTCAAATGTACGTTTTTCTGTTACCCCCTTAAGCTGTTGCCCGACGGCCGTTTTATTCGAATTTCACTCCGGCTTCATCATCTTCTGAGTGACCCATTGTTTGGTGACTGTTGGAGTCACCCCACGTCTATAGCCGGGTGAGCGGCTGCTGGCAGAGGTGATGTCCATTCCTTATTTGGGGTTCTTATCTACAATGATGACTATCACAGACATCCACCCTACGTCCTTCCTTGTGGAAGAGATACGTAGATAACACGTTCGTCATCTGGCCGCATGGCCTTCCAGCACTTAACCAATTTCTCAACCACATCAATTCCATACACCCATTTATCAAATTCACCATGGAAGTGGAAAAGGATGGCAAGCTACCATTCCTGGATGTTTTGAACGAGAATAGACCTGATGGCTCGTTGCGACACTGTCTACAGGAAAGCCACCCACACGGATGCCTATCTAAAGCCTGACTCCCACCAATATCCAGCCCAGAAAAATTCTCTCATCAAAACACTACACCATAGGGCCCGTTGCATCTCCGACCAGCATCACCTAGCCAGTGAGCTGGAGCACGTACACCAAACCCTCAGGATGAAAGGATATTCTGACCGTACAATCCACAAAGCTGTCTCCCCAGCCATGGGGAGACAACCATCTGGAGATCAAACCAATACCATCGCTTTGCCATACATAGCAGGGGTTACCAAAAAGATTTCCAAAATCTTAAACAGAAGATCCAGGTTCGTTTCAACACAGTACACAAAAATCCGTGATTTGATCCCATCTGTAAAGGATGTGATTCCTGACATGCAATACCCGGGTGTCTACAAACTGAGTTGTGGCTGCAGCAGCAGTTAAATTGGGGAAACAAAACAACATGTCTCGGACCGCATTCGCAAACACAAGGCAGATCTGAACACGGTAGGACCAATACCTCTGCCATTGCTGATCATTGTTTTAACGCAGTGGGCTCACACGAAATTGACTTTTCCAAGACGAAGGTACTCGGCAAACCCACCGGCTATTATCAGAGATTTGTTCATGGAGCCATCCAGATATATAAACACAGACACAACTTCAACCGAGCAGATGGGTGCAAACTGAGCAATCATTGGAAGGACGTGATTAACCAGGTGAAGTCTGAACTGACTGTGATGTTTCCATACTACCTGCCTATGTCAGCTGTTTTTTCCAACTCTCTGTGTGTCTTTCTCTCTCTCTCTCTGTGCATCTCTCTTCGATCTCTACTCCAGTGACCCGGGTGCTGCCGCGGGGTCCACTTTCTGTCCCGCCTCCTCCCCCCCCCCACCCTTCTCTCTCTCCCCCTGCAGCCGATTTCTTCAGTGCTGCCGCGGTGGTCCCTTTACTCCAGTGACCCGGGTGCTGCTGCGGGGTCCACTTTCTGCCCCGCCTCCTCCCCCTCCCCTTCTCTCTCCCCCCCTAGCCGAGTCCTATATAACCTCGTGCCACGGCAGATCTCTCGCCTACTTCAGCAGTTTTTTATTTATGTGGTTGTCCCACCTGATGACGATTGCTTGTGTTGCGATCGAAGCGTCGTGATTATTATTTTTCTACCTACGTGACTTTACCGAAAGAACCAAAGAGTATGGATTCCTGCAGTGACGAAAGCTTCAAATCAAGATTTTGAAGGGTTATTGATGTCATCGCTTATGGCGAAGGTGGCTGAGAGGCCATGGTTAGGGTGGTAGATGGCAGGGTGCAACCATTTATTCTGCAACTCGCTCGTCCGCTTGATGTCCTCCTCTCCTGTAAAGCGACAACGTCCGTGGTGTCTTCCCATGGGTTCCTGACCAGCACGTCACATTAGGTCTTGAGAGTCCTTCAGTGCTTGCTTGCTTGCTTGGTCCACTCGAAGACCGTGTCCAATCAGATTCTGGTCTTTTATTTAAAGGGCCATTTTTTCAGGCATTTAAGCTCTACTGATCATATCGCGATTCGAATCCACAACATCCATTTGTGCCTAGGTGATGGGACGAATTGTTTTTAAAGTAACATGATGACGCGTAACAGGTGGGTTTACAAAAAAAATCTCCCCATCTCCCACCCATGTAGTGGATTGGGAGTGATACTTGGGTTATGCAGAAAGCCACACCAGCTTATCACATTTATTCAGTTGCAATTTTAATTACAAATGAATACACAAAAATATTGAAAGTGTGTATTTTTTCCTTTAGTTCAGCATGTTATAAATATTCCGTTAGATAGCCACACAACAAACACTCATAAAATTGCATATCGGTTGTGTCATTTGGATGTTGTGTAATTTGGATGTTTTATTACTGTGTTTTTTTTGCCATAGTAAGTCTGCACGATCTGGCATTGTGTAAGAAAGACCTCTCGACAGTACCTCGAACGTAGTTCTGTGACATCATCATCAGCAGGGGGCCACTCCTGAGGATGACTTGATGTTACTGCGAGGATCTAATGTGACACAAAGCCAATAGTGTGGTTGGGTTATCATTGGGGGGCAGGGGGTGGATAGATAATCATTCACAGAAAGTACTCAATTGGGATTGCATACAGCAGCAATCATAACCCCCCTACTGGAAGAATAATGCTCACTTGCAGGCCAGGTGCTGAAATCACCTCGTGCTGCAGTGTGTAACATCACTGGGAGGGGGGGGGGAGGCAATGCGGCTGGGCGTGGTGGCCACCCACTCTCTCGTGTACTGTGCCGGCCTTCATTGTTACTCGCTAACAGCGCTTGCCCCAACAGTCTGTTAAGGCTTTATGGGGGATCTTTGTCTTTGTGTGTATGCAGTGCCGTGCTCTCAGCAAAAGGCTCCGTTTGGCAGAAAAAGCACGGCAGCAGTTTCAGAGCGAACTTCACACAGCAAACCAGAACCTCAGCAGTCTGCAGGTGAGTCGATTGGTAGCGATTCTGGAATCGCTACCAATGAGATCTTCTCTCAAAACTGCTCTAGAGGAGTTGTACACCCCTAGCTGCCACTGCTATTCATTGGCGTAAAATAGAATAAAATGTTTCGCTCCGGATGACGCTGCAAAGTATTATCTGTATTTTGATTTAGCGTGCTGATCTTAAAGGTGCATTGAAAAATTTGATAATCCGACTGATGCTTCTGTTGTTGTGGAGTAACTCATGCAGCCAGCTATGGCTCTAGGATTTGGTGTTACATGTTATTTATGTAGTTTATTGTAAAAATTGGGTCACAGTCCCAATGCTCACTGTTACGTTGCAATTATGGTTTTATTTTTTTGGTGATTTCGAAAAGTTTTTTGGTTTGGACATGTTTGTTTTGTTGTAGTACGGAGTTAGACTGATGGCCTTAATCTAAGTTTTCTTGTGGTTGTTGTTGTTTGACTTGCATCCCACTGGGATTATTTGCACACAGAGTTGGTGTACGGTGCTTTTTTCAGGAATATTTTGCTGTTTTTTTTACATAGATTTTCTGTTTCCACAGTCACATAGTCACTTTAAGATGTTTTTCTTGTTTGTGTTTTTGTTTTTTTGTTTGTTGTGGTTGCACCCGATTCACGAGCTGAATGGCTCACAGGGCTATACCAAAATAAATCAACTGAAACTGAGTCGAGTCATGGAGTTACTGCACACATTAATCCATAATTCTTGTGAATCAATGTCAGCGTCCTGCCAATTAAAAAATCCCTATCACTTGCAAAATTACGCACAGGTTTCAACACAGTATTGAATAGTCGCACCCTAAATACCCTGCCACGTTCATCGTGTATCAACGGGTTCGAACAGGTGACACTTGCATTCTTAATTACTCCATTCCTCTGTAAAATCTCTACACGTATGGAGTGGGCTTCCAGACTATCCCAGCGAAATCCCTTTCACGGATTGAGGTACCTGCACTTTTGTTGCTGTTGCCACTGTCGCTTCTCTCGCTCTTTTCCATGGTGTCACTGGAGCATCGAGACGCCCACCTGGCAGACAGGGCCTGATTGTTCCATCGTGCTTCGTTTCAGCACTGCCGCTTCACGCGTTGTCAGTGTTCACGCTCGGTCACTGCGTGCCCGGGAAACTCTCACGGGGGGGCTACGCGGGGACAGAGAAGGCCAGAGGCACGATTGCAAAGGGGGGACCTGGACTTGCTTAATGACTGGGAACCGGCAGTGTCACAATCGCTCTCTACGTATGAGGCGTGTGAATGATGCTTCTGGGCAGTTGGCAACGGTTACCTCCCAGCAACAATTGGAGGAAGAGGAGCAATTCTCACAACATAAAGCAGAGCATCGGGTGACTAAAACACCAACAAGTAGGTGCAGATACTCGCCTCAGAGTCACAGTTATTCATTGTCTTGTTATAAGTAGTTTATTATAAGTTTCATTATTACGATCTGCATCTTCCTAATGGCTCTAGTGTATTAACCAAAGACACAGGTCAGTGCCCATCACCTCAAAGTACACTCAACCTGGCAAGTGCCCTCCACCATGTAGTGGTCTGTGTTGGGTGGTGGTGGTGTCATGAGCAGTTGCGTAGCAGTTAGCGCTGCACTGCGCTACGAACCCGGCGTTCCGAGTTTGGTTCCTGTTCACAACAAACACCAGTGACGATTATCTAAACCCATCTTGGGCCTCCCATAAGTTTATTCTGCCTCAAATGAGTACCTGGTGCGATGTAAAAACATTGCCACTGGGGAGACAAAGGCGGCCAGGCGTGGTGCTGGCCACCACCCCCCTCGTTTGCTGTGCTGGCCTTAATAGGTGCTCGCGAACAGCACTTGCCCCAACAGTCCGTTAAGGTTATATGGCGGGTCTTTGGTGTTGTGCAGGATGAGCTCACCACCACTAAGCGGAGTTATGAAGACCAGCTGAGCATGATGAGTGATCACCTGTGCAGCGTCAACGAGACGCTCGCAACACAGAGGGACCAGATCGACGCCCTCAAGCTCGCCGGCAAGGTGTGCATGCTCATTTCCACACGTCTACGTGTACTCGTGTGTTTGCCTTTACATGTGTGTGTCTGCATGTGTATGTGTGTAGCCTGAATGCCCAGCCACCACATGCCAAAACAGATTTTGTTTCGCTGGACAGGGGGGGCACAGGCTGGTGATGAGATGGAGTGATGTAATGCAAGAGGATGTGGAACTGAGTGGACTTGGGGATGACGAGTACCAGCAGTATCAAAATCTCCCTCTGTGGAGGAGGCTCGTGAAGCATGCTCCTGGGCAGTTAGAGGCAGTCGCCCTTCAGCAACAGCAGAAGGTAGAGGAGCGATGCTCACAACAACGAGGGGAGCGCCGGGCGGCTAAAACACAGCAAGTTGGCACAGTAGAGGTACAGGTGGTGCATCGGCCATTCATCTCAGTCAGTCAACCCATGGCATCTGGGTCTGTCCCATGACCTCATGCCAGCGAACGTTCCACACTTCACGTGGCCTTAAAGTGCACCTAGCCTGGCACAAGCGCCATGGTGACTTCACAACCACTTAGTGTCAAATGGAGGTTGTTGTGTGTTTGTAGCGGTGTGCTACGAACCTGACCACGTGAGTTTGATTCCCACTCACGGCCAACACCAGTAACGATTATCTGAACCGATCCTCAGCCCCCCCTATGTCAACTCTGCCTCAAATGAGTACCTGGTGAGATGCGCAAACATCACCACTTCGGAGACAAAGGTGGCCGGGCGTGGTGCTGGCAACCCACCCCCTCGTGTGCTGTGCCGGCCTTCATAGAAGTTTCACGTTGGTAGCAGTAGCATAGCGGTAGTACAGTGGTTAGTGCTCTGCCCTACAAACCTGGTGAACCAGTTTTAATTCTAGGTCATGGCCAACATCGTTGACGAATATCTGAACTGTTGCTGGGCCTCCAGGAGGTCAACTTGGCCTTAAATGAGTACCTGGTGCAGGATGTAAATATCAGCACTTGGCATACTTGGCATACTATGTCTTCTTGTGTCATGCCAACCTTAATAAGAACTCACGGACAGCACTTGCCCCAACAGTCCGCAAGGCTATGATGGATATTTGTTTATTTGTTGTTTGTGCATTGACCTGAATGGTGGTGTTGTGGTTCATCGTCTACACTACTATCTTGGTCACCACCTGAATTTCATTTATAGCCATACACAATATCAATAGCAAGTCATATGTGAATTTGTCCTGAAATTCCCAAAGATCAACTCAGCCTTTCATCGATTTGTGATGTATTCATGAAACATCACTCGGTCAGATGCATGCTGCTGGGCATGGTATTGATTACATCATCTCCGAGTGTGCCCTGCCAACATACGTAGGTGCTTGCTAACACTTTTGCCTTCATATTTACTTGATGGTTAAAGTGTGCGTGCCACACCACGGCCCCTGCTTGCCAAAGGAAACTTATTTCATCGTCATCACCTGGTAAGGAACTTATCTTTCAGCTTCTCCAGGAACCTCGGACAGCCTCCAGATCTGCTCAAATGAATTTCGGTCTCTGCAGCCACATGTCTTCTTTCATATGGATGATGTAGATGCATAGCAACAACTACAATTTCACATTCAGGTGGTCAAGCCAGATACGCGCATAAGGAGCAGTGGAGTGTTATCACTACGATATCTCCGTATTCGTGGATTGGCATTGCGGCACACTGGAGAGTTTTACATTTATCATTAATGCATCAGGTAGCCACATCTGCCATGATTTGTGCAGATGCGATTTAGGGTGGAAGATGAGCTCTGTGGAAGGTCAAACCTAGGGATCTTCTGCGTTAGGTCTTTCACCAGTTGTTTGTTTGTGACTTATTTTTAACTCCCTTCAGCCCTCCAAGCTTGAATTTGCAATGTTTAAGGTTAAACTCATAGGTGAAAAAGGGCTTGCGGCGTACTTCAAGTGATGGACAAGGGATGTTATTGAACTCCTGATGAATGGAAAGGCGACTGTTTTCCTCAATTCGCAAGACTTCTCGGAGGGTTGCAGCACATGGGTGAGAGAGAGATTTGTGACAGCACGAGCAGCCAGGGTGTTGGGATCGACTTGAGGGTTCTAGTGATGCACCTCATTGCAGTGTTCAGTTGGACATTAACAAGTCAAGTGCGACTACTTTTGGTCCGTACTGGTGCACAGTACTCGGCTACAGAGTACAAAAAAGGCCATTATTGATGTCCGTAGCACTGGTTACTAATGCTCCCCAGCCTGTGTTTGCCAGTTTCTGGACCCGATTGAGCCTTGTTTTGGTCTTGGTGGCTACCTTTTTCAGGTGGTTATGGAAAGTTCGCATATGGTCCAGCTTCACTCCGAGATAGGTTGGAGCGGTGTCGTGTCGCCACACTCCTCCTCTTGATTGTCTAATATTTATTATACTCTTTGGTTCTTTTGGTAAAGTCACTTAGGTATAAAATAAAATAAATCACGACGTTTTGATCGCAACACAAGCGGTCGTCCTCAGGTGGAAAAATATCCAGCAGTGGAACTGCTGAACCAGCGAGAGAGCAGTTACAACAAGGTTATATATGTGGCAATGGGCAAGCAATCGGGGTCAGAGCTGGAAAGGAATTCCATCCACGGACGTAAGCACGTCAGTTGTGTTAATGGGGGAGATTAGGGAGAGAGGGATTAGGGAGGGAGATTAGCATGAATGAGCTTACGTCGCCGCATAAGAGTTTTATGCCCGCATATGCGCACAACAGCAATGTTAATGAGAGATTAGCACCATGAGAGTGCAATCCAAAGGGCATGTGAGCCTGAGAGGTGCAATCCAAAGGGCATGTAAGCATGAGAGTGCAATCCAAAGGACATGTGAGCATGAGAGTGCAATCCAAAGGGCATGTGAGCATGAGAGTGCAATCCAAAGGACATGTGAGAGATCTAAGAGAGAGGCATAGAGAGACACAGAGTCGAAAATAACAGCTGACATAGGCAGGTAATATATTATATCCTTCAATTTATATTAGGCTAGGATTTAAATACAGGGTAAGCTATGTTTCAGACATACAGAAGATGTCTGGGCAAATATTATTGAATTCAATTTTGAATTGTAAAAATTTAGTGATCAGGCCTCCAATATTAACATGGACAATGTCAAGACCCTGTCTGTTTTTTTTAAATCTGATGACTTAAAGGTGAGTGATGGAGAAGATGTAGCAACAATGGCACCAGGATTGGTTTCAACACGAGACCTAATCAACAATATAAATTTTCATAATTTTTTAATGTATTTTGTAATAGGATGCTGTCCTAAATGGCTTTTTCTGATACACGTAGACGCATGTCCACGAGGAATCTTTAAACTACTACGGGTAACATGTGAACATGGAAATGTAAATTATTGTAGACTGGCACAAAGGAATGAACACGTATATGGGAGGTGTCATTGTTTGCGAAGGTGTATGGGTGTGTTGCATGTGATGGATAACAGTGACATTAAGTGCAATGGCTTCAATGACAATGGGGGTAACATGGACCAGAGTTACTGGATAAGAGAAAGGTGGCAGTCTGCTCCACTGGTTCTTAATTGTGGAATTTGATGGATTTTTCTCAAACGTCAATGCATTGTTTTTTCGTTCACCCTGTCACCACATGGTAGCGCTATATTGCTATATTCGAGACGTGTATTGTGTGAACTTCAATGTTTAAGTAATCCATGGGTGGTGATGATGATACAGTTTGTGCCATAGAGGTGTAGCAATGAAATTAGTTTGTGCATTGGTGCTGTGTAGATTATTGCATCGCAAGACCATAAAAGATGGTGACAGATTTTGGAGGCCTTCATCCAGAAGTGGATTTATCATGGCTGGTTATGATTATGATGATAGAGTAGACTTACCACACATGTCTTTGCAGCCACTATGATTCATATTTGATTTTCTTGGTTAGGCCACTTAACGATCTGGCCTGAAGATGCTTGGTGTTTCATAAAGTAAAATGTATCGAAAACGCAAAATTTTGGTTGTAATAATTGTTCTTCAGCTTATCGGCGACCTGTAGTGATCATTCGAGCATTAAATGTGGGTACACACGGCAAGTTAATTTGTTTTTCTGTAGGGTGGAAGAGAGTTTCGTTTGGCCACATCATTACGTGGGCAAACCCCCCAAAAAAGTAATTTATGAATCGCAGTCTTTAAAGCTAAGCTTTATATATCCATAGCTGTCAAAATAGTTATAATTGGTGATAAAATTCCCCAAAAGTTATACACTGCTTAATCAATAATCCTGACTGTGCTGTATCCTTTGTGAAGGCAAGCTCTAAGAAGAAGTCCCGGTGAAGAGTAACAGTGATCGTCTGCTTCGGCCTCCACCGTCTACATCGCTGTGCTCACAAATGCAGCACCCCACCGCTGAGGTCCAAGATATGAACTCGGAGCCACGTGAACACCGTCTGCTGCATTTTAGAGGATTGATATAAATGTGCGGATTCATCTGATTGATGGCAATAATAAGAATAGACGTAATGTTGGGATTTTGTTTTGGCACTAAAAATGAAATGTTTAATCTGTCATTGTTGGGCAGCCCTTGTCACAATTGGTGTTTGTCGGTTGTGATTTGTTTTAAAAAGGCTAACGCCACACTGGCTTCACAGTCTTTTTGTCTCATCAGAAGGGTAAGGTCCCCTTTAACCAAAGAGGCCTGTGAAAGAAGTTCAACATACATACAAAGGCACTGGGTAAACCGATGTTATTTCAAGGAGCAATCTGTGAACACCATGGACTCAATAAAGCAATTTTATTTGGGGGGATTAACAAATCCTGAATGTTACTGGGACCAGGATGCTGGATTACAAATGCACATTTTGCCATTTGAATTAAGTTAGATATTTGATTTGTCACTGTGGGTATCAAATAATTACGTTGTAAATGTCATTTGTATCAATGTTTGAGGCAGCAGTAATTTCTGTTTCAATACAAGTGAAGAAAGGTGGCCTTTAAGAATAACTGGGAAATATTCTGGCCCTTAAATATAAGCACATAGAGGATGTCATGAATCTTTGGGCATAATAGTGCAAGCAATTTGGACATTTGAAATCATTGTAGACAGAATGGGACAAAGGAGGATGGAATTACTGGGTTGTTTAGGGAGGGCAGGTTACGCACATGGGCGTGAGTATGGCACTAAGAGGCCGCACGCTTATGGGAAGCCCTGAAGCCAGATGGTGGATACCAATACCAGTGGAACAGACATTAAAGATTGTGTGTTCACTGTGCAGCAGTTTCAGAATCTGGCGGAAGTGATGGCAGTGTGGTGGCATTGACGAAATTGTATATAATGATCACTGGAGTCTGATCTTTGAATAATCTTTTATCCAGGGAACCCTCGCATTCTGAGTAGTATCTTGCAAATGGATGTTTGGACAATTTCTGTTTTGATAAATATTGATTCAGTAAATGTGTTTGACTATAAATAACACGAATATATCCAAGTATGCAGTTTAATTCCCTGTCACCATGAAATGTCCATATTTGTCTAAATAATGTTTAACCAGGAAAGTGTCACTGCATCAATTCTAGATTTAAAGCTTTCGTGACTGCTAGGATCCATACTCTTTGGTTCTATTGGGTAAAGTCACGTAGGTGAAAATAAAATAACAAAAAATCATGACGTTTCGGCCACAACACAAGCGGCTTTCATCAGGTGAAGGGACGAGACTGTCTGGAGGACAGCGCTGGAGTGGAAGAAGCCACGCTTAGATCACGACCTTTAAGCTGTGTGAGAAGAAAAAGACCACGCGCCTTGACAAAGGAATTAGCATATAATTTAGCATTGAAATGGCTCATTGAAATAGCTAAGTTAAAGTATACACATCCGCAGAGGTACCCCTTGACAAAGGAATTAGCGCTGGAGTGGAAGAAGCCACGCTTAGATCACGACCTTTAAGCTGTGTGAGAAGAAAAAGGCCAAGTGCCTTGACAAAGGAATTAGCATATAATTTAGCATTGAAATGGCTCATTGAAATAGCTAAGTTAAAGTATACATATCAGCAGAGGTACCCCTTGACAAAGGAATTAGCATCGAATTTAGCATTGAAATAGCTGAGTGATTAGCTTGTAACTGGTCACAGAAATAGCTATGTTAAAGTTAGAGCATATACATTCACCGAGGCACCTAGTACTCATCAAACAGGAGAATTGAGCGAAACACAACCACGCTCAGACATCGGACCTGTGTGCGAGCAAACAAGGTGTTCTGACAAAGAAATTAGCATACAAATTAGCATTTGATTGGCGGATTTTAGGAAAGAGTTGGTGTACGTGCTGGTGGACTCGCAGTTTGGCGCGGGGGGGTGGGAAAGGGGGGAGGGGGGAGTTTACCTATTGATGGTGTGAAAAGGGGGAATTTATAAGAGCTGCGAAAGTTTGGGGTACCACTACTTGAAAAATATACTGTACCATTGAAATTAGTTTAATGTTTAGTTCGATTTAGAACATCTTTCCAATGGTTGCTTAATTTGAAACCATCCTCTCGGTTGAAATTGTGTCTGTGTTTGTAGATCTGAATTGCTTCATGAACAAACCTCTGATAAAAGCCCGTGGGTTTGCAAAGAACCTTGGTATCGGAGAAAATGATATCGTGATCCCCCACAGCATTGTAACAGTGATCAGCCACGGCAGAAGAATTCGTTTGTGCCGTGTTTCAAATCTGATTTGTGCTCGCGAATTCGGTCAGAGACATGTCGCTTTGTCTCACCGATGTAGCAATCACCGCAGGTACAACTTAATTTGTAAACCCCGGGGTACTGTAAATCAGGAATGACATCCTTCACGGATGGGATCAGATCACGAATTTTGTGTACTGTATTGAACCGGACCTGGATCTTGTGTTTGTTTAAAATTTTGGAAATCTTTTTAGTAACGCCTGCTATATATGGAAGTGTGATGGTTTTGACCGGAGTATCAAGTGGTTGTTTCTGTATGGAGGGAGAGACAGCTTGGCGGATGGTACGGTCAGAGTAACCATTCCTTTTGAGGGCCAAGTGTACATGTTTTAATTCACTGGTCAGGTGGTGTTGGTCCGAAATGCAATGAGCCCTATGGTATAAAGTTTTGATGAGAGAATTATTTTGGGCTGGGTGGTGGTGGGAATCAGGTTTCAAGTAGGAATCTGTGTGGGTGGGTTTCCTGTAGACAATGCCCCAATGAGCCATCAGGTCTCCTCTCAAAATGAACATCTAAGAATGGTAGCTTGCCATCTTTCTCCACTTCCATGGTGAATTTGATGGCGGGATGTTTGGAATTGATGTGGTGTAGGAAAAGGTTCAGAGCTGGGAGGCCATGTGGCCAAATGACGAAAGTGTCATCCACATATCTCTTCCACAGGGAAGGTCTGAGGGTGGAAGTCTGGATGGTGTCTGATTCAAATTTCTCCATGAAAATATTGGCTATCACTGGTGATAAGGGGGATCCCATGGGGGTACCGTCATTTTGTTTGTAGAAGGAACCATTCCAAGTAAAGTAGGTCTTAATGATCAGGAGGCACTGCTTGGGACTTGGAGCCAATTCTTTAATGAATGACAATACATTTGATGTTTGCGCCATTATTATTGCAAATTGCTATCCTGGAGGTGCCGTGTTTCACAGACATGATCAGCAGTAGCTTCAAAGGAGGGGTCATTGCTTTGTGCAATACCAAATTGATTAATTTTGCAGCCATATTAAAAGTTGCACCGTGATGATGACACAATACCCAACTCTTTTCCCAATTATGTTATCGGATCTTCAACATCCACTGTGAAGCAGACAGCGCATTATCTACGGTTAATACACACCTGCAGTCATAACCAGGGCGGCCGACTGAGTTTGAACTGTGAACCCCCTGCAACAAGCGGTGAATGTGCTCCTACTATGACTTCTGGGCTATTGCAACCGCTATTACTCTCATCTGGTAGCCATGGGCCAGCTGTGGGAAATAAGATAGCCGATAAACACATTCCCACAGTTGGACTCCTTTTTATATTTCCTAGGAGGATTATTACGTGCCGACTTTAGCCCCCAGCCAGGATTTGAGATGGCAACTTTCCAAGTATGAGTTGAGCTCCCCGTCGCAGTGCTGTCCCAGCTTGATGGGGGATGGCACTAGAATACGTAAAATAGTTGAGCATTCTAGTTGCTGTGCTGTCTTCTGCTGACCTCATATCCTTGGTAGGAGGAAACCGATCAGGAAGTGAATGGGTAATTTCAGCTGCACAGTCCTGTTATATACCTGCACGTATTTACAGTCTACTACCACAGACATGGAGTGATACAATCAGCTTTCGTGCAGGAGCCAGATTGATTGTTGCATGACAGGACCGTGAGGGATGGTGACAGCTTTGGGGATACTTTCATCCAACAGTAGATAGGCCATGGCTGATAGCCTGGACCGTACAGTGAACACTTAGTGTGGATGGATACCGGGAGCCATGCTGCGTGATGATGGGCTTATCAAGATGCACGTATATCCAGCAGTGGTAGCGGTGTGCTGGATTACATCGAGGTGGTTCCTGTCATAAGCCAGTACAGCAAGTAGGTTGCTTATATCTACAGAGTTTATCATTTGTTTACTCCAACATGCTGTTTTATTTGCGAACTCAGGTTAGAGTTTGTAAAAAACAATGTCTCATTTCACACCATGAGATCAACTCTGGTAATTTAGTATTAGATGTTTTATGTTATATGCTGTGAACTAAAACATTTTTGGGAAAATCCTAAATATCCAGAGAAGTCTGAAAAAAACGGATTTCATACTGAGAGATTTGGAGAAAATGCCTGGCTCCGAGTGCGTTTTGCTTGTCTTCAAAGTGAAAATATAATTAGTGAGGAAAGTTATTTCCTAGTGATAATGATACACATTTACATAGTGCCATGAAAGTGTTAGAGGCACTCATCCGGGCATTAGTTATTAGTTGTTTTCCAAACGCAAGTTAACTTGTTGGTTTAGAGTTTGTGTTTCATGCTCGCAAGGGCAGACGTTAATTGCTCGGCAGGTTGCAGAAGCTCCCAAATGAGTGAGTTCCAGCTGAGCAGCGCTGCAACGCTGTTGAGCACGATCTGCGATATGCAGGTTTTTTTATTATCGTTTTAGCACTTGGAAGTCTCAATATATTGAAGGGTGGCCGACACGGACTTGGAATGCAATCGGAAGCAGTGTGGAGATAGCCAGGCATCCCCAGTCGAGGAGACCAAACCACTCGGCTCAAGAAGCAACACACAAGGTGTGAGTTATTTGCAGGAGGCCATTGATCTAATTGTTGATGGACCAAGTGCATTGTGTTTCAAGAGGACCATGTTGAAAAATATAACACGACTTTAAGGCATTCAAGTTTTTATTTTAATGGACTTTTTGATGCTCCCTCATACCATCAAAAATTGCGACTGAGATCTTAACGTGGAAGAGCTGACTTTTCAATTGGTTAAGTGTGAATAACGGAGGAATTCCCTTTTATATTTTATATTGGGGCGTCGGCAAACGTGTGACTCCGCGTGCGCTGTGTGCGGCTCTTTACGGTGCTGCTGCTACTTCGTGACGGTTATTAAGAGATCCCACACTCTAGTATTCACCACGTCGCATTGCGGCTCTTGAAATATCTAGGTAGTTTACCAAATTTGAAAAAAAAATGCCCTTGTTATTTTAGGTTGCCGACCCCTGGTCTGAGATGTTGAGTTTTGCACAATTATCCACAGTGTATGATTATATTATTTGAAAAGTTTTAGTCTACAATTAATTGACCAAACATCTAAGCAGGGTCTTCTTGTCACACAGTGA